TTAGAGTTTGATTGGGGTTTGGGGTTTTGGGGTTTAGGGTTTAGGGTTTAGGGTTTAGGGTTTGATTGGGGTTTGGGGTTTTGGGGTTTAGGGTTTTAGGGTTTGGGGTTTAGGGGTTTAGGGTTTATCGTTTTAGGGTTTAAGGTCTTTCAGGCCAGGCCCCCAGCTTCCTCCTTTGGTTTCGGGTTTAGGGTTTTAGAGGCTTAGGGTTTTAGAGGTTTAGGGTTTTAGAGGTTTAGGGTTTTAGAGGTTTAGGGTTTTAGAGTTTAGGGTTTTAGAGGTTTAGGGTTCAGGGCTTAAGGGGTTTAGGGGTTTAGGGGTTGAGGGTTTAAAGTGCGGTTTCGGGTTTAGGGGCCATCGCTTCCTTTGTGCGCCCTTTTTGTGTCAGAGAGGGAAACCAGGTAGGTCCCCGAGTCCCTGTTTTAAAGCCCTTTAGGGTTTAGGGTTTAGGGTTTAGGGTTTGCCTACCGGGTTTCCACCTCCCTTTTGTTTGGGAGAGGGGGGGGGGTTAGGGTTTCTGGGGCTTATACGTTTTAGGGTTCAGGCCAGGCCATGCTTGGAGGGTCGGGTTTAGGGTGCAGGGTTTCGGGTTTAGGGTTTAGGGTTTAGGGCTTAGGGCATGTGCCCCAATACTTGGGAGGTCGGGGGACTTAGTAACTAGTTATTTTAGAGACGTAGAAGTATCATAACCCCCAACTAGGCTCCCTTTTTAGTGTACTTAATACATAACTCTACTTAATATCTACTTACTAAGTCCCCCGACCCTCCGAGTAGCTTCCTTTGTGCCCCGTTTGTTTTTTTTTATTAGGGGCTGGGTAGGTAAACTTTCAGCTCGTGGAGCTTATCGAATCCTACTATAATTCAAAAGGTTAACCTTTTTGGGGGTAAGGCCATAACTTCCCTTGTGCTCTTCTTATATTTGGAGGGGAGGTGAGGGGGGTTAGGGTTTAGGGCTTACAGCGCTGACAGGGTTTTTAGGGTTTAGGGTTTAGGGATGAAGGACTATAGTTTATGTAGGGTTTCCAGGGTTTAAAGTCTATAGGGTTTAGGGCCTGTTTAGGGTTTGCAGGGTTTAGGGCTTATAGGATCTTTTAGGATTTAATAGGGTTTAGGGCTTATAGGGTTTATAGGGTTTATAGGGTTTAGGGTTTATCGGGTTAAGGGCTTATAGGGTTTAGGATTTATGGTTGTTTAGGGTTTAGTTTTTTTAGGGTTTTGGGCTTCTAGGGTTTAGGGTTTGTGTCTTGAAACAGCAAGCACAATTTTGGAGCGCATGTGGCCCGTGTTGGGCCTCTTGTTCTCGAACTCCGCGTTGGAAACCAATTTCAGATATTCAGCTCCAGTCGAGGACAACGGTTCGGTCATGGTCGGAAAGCCTCAAAGACCTTCTGTCATTGGCGGTTTGGCTGCTATGGGTGCTGTGAGAGCCGGTAATGCTGCGGACTGGGAAAGTTTGGCACTCAATGGGACCATTATCGTCATCCTCTTCAGGTCAGGGAAATCCCCACCAGTGGCAGGTTTCTCTCTCTCTCTCTGCAATGCGACGAAGGGTCGCAGTAATTACAGTTTCTCTCTCCTCGCAATATTGGAGCGGTCGTACTAATTGCAGTTTCTTTCTCTCTGCAATACTCGGAGGGTCGAGGGACTTAGTAAGTAGGTGATAAGTAGAGTTATAAGTACCCTAAAGGGGCTCCTAATTGGGGTTATGAGACTTATGAGTCTAGAGAATAACCAATTACTAAGTCCCCTGACCCTCCAAGTACTGGAGCGGTCGCACTAAATTGCAGTTGCTCTCTGCTCCGCCCTGCGTCTGATTCCAGCAAAGCTAAGCAACCGACATCACCAAGCCCTGCAAAAAATCGGGCTCCGGGAACCGGGTTTCTAAGTGAGGGGGGGTTGATACTTCAGTTCTGGAGATCGGATTTTACAAGTGAGGAGGGGTTCATAACAATGACGTCAACATTAAACCCCAAACCCTAAGACCCTAAAACATGTCCTGCACAATTAGGGTTTAGGGTTTAGGGTTCAGGGTTTAGGGTTTAGGGTTTAGGGTCTTCAGGTTTCCCCTAGGAAATTGGACCAGCTCCAAACTCACGGTTTAGGGTTTAAAAAAGATTACAAAAGGAGTCGGTGCTTGCAAAGGCAACGAAAACAGACACCAAACCCTTCGAGTTTGGGGGTCAGGTTTTAGGAGGCTTTGGGATGTAAAGGAGCCCCAAAAACCCCAAACCCTACACCCCCTTCGATGCAGTAATGGCTTTATGCAGATTTCGTATATCTTAGGAAGTTCGGGCTTTTTTGATTTTGGACCCTCAACCCTAAACGCTAACCCCAAAACCTAAACCCTGAACCCTAAACCTTGAACCCTAAGCCAAAGAGAAAGGCGAATGGTGTGTGTCCGTGGAGCTGCAGAAGCCCCGCGCCGCCCGAAGCAAACCTACCAGACTCCGAGGTTTTACAGGATTTATTAGGTTTAGGGGTCCGGGTTCCTTTTAAGGGCTCCTTTCAGTGTTGCTTCTTAAGGGATGTTCTAATGGTTTTGGGGTTTTGGGGGCTAAGAGTTACGGTTTAGGGTACGTAAACCCTAAACCTTAAGGGTTTCGGGTTTAAGGGCCCCTAAACCCTAAACCCCTGAACCCTAAAACGGTTTTAAAAGGACCCCTCCGGTTTCGGGCTTACGGCTTGTACGGTTTGAGGGTGTCTGAAGGCTCCAGTGTAAGCCCTGAGCCTTAAATCGGAATATACAGGCTCTGGTGCATGAAAATGATCACCCCCCCTCTGGGCCTAATTCACAAAAGGGGGGGGGGGGGGTATCGTCCTAAAACAGAGGTTCGGTGTATTTTCCGCGGAATTCCACCGTTTTGATTATTAAGGTGTTGAACGACGTTCGACCCCCCACGGTGCTTTTTTAAATAGTCGCACTGCATCTAACTAAGCCTTCCTCCATCGAAAACAAATGGTTATCGCAAGAGTGCTTGTTGTGGCTGTTTTTTATGGTTTGTGGACGTCGGTGGGCCTGTCCGTATTGCTTGTGCCGCTGACATTGCAACAGCAGCCATAGCACTTCCAGTTGTGCAGTGTGCAGAGCATGCAGAATCCGGAGAGGCAGACACTATGTGTGAATGCATACAGTCATCTGTTATCTGCGGGCACGGAGCAGCCCCACCTTTGCCCGGAGATGCCTGTGCCCCAGTTCACTACTAAGAGGGAGGATCTTATCGTGAGCCATTGCTTCTAATGATGCGCCGGCGGGCCCAGACATGCGCCGTCGCCACTAGCCCTCCGGTGCTGCAGGAGGTGAACCCCAAGCACCATGCGGCATGGCCTATTTAATTTCCCAAATTTTTTAACAGTCACTGCTGCTGTGCCTACTCGCACCTTCGCAGGCTGCTGCGGCGCCTGTCTGCTCCGAGCTTTCCTTCAACAGGGGCAAAGTGGGCATGCAGAACATTTCGGACTACATGCACCACATGCTGGCACTGTACGGGCAGACCACGGGGCGCCTCGTCTCGCATCTGCAAGCAAAGCGGAAGCAGAGCCTTGGAAGGTAAACCTTCTCATAATCCCAAAATGCCCAAACCAGCTCCGGTGCGCGCCTCCGTGCCAGCGGCCAGGCGGAAGCTTCCCAGCGAGGACGGCTACCTGCAGAAGATAAAGATCAAAATCACGTGGCCGGCCCTGCAGAGCAAAGCAGGCAGCTACATGCTGCACCGGCACCGGAGCAAAAGCGGCATCAAATTCGGATCCCACGTGCTTTTAAACTTCCAGCAGGCTGCTCCGACGAAAGCCAACGGCACCAAGCCCTTCCTTGAGCTGCTGACCTGCATAGCTTCACATGCGGACTACTCGCTTCCGATGCCGTCGACGGCGTAGGTTTCACCCGAAGACAAGCATCCACAAAACGTGGGATGCAGCCACGTGCGCCGAGAAGCGCCAAAACGAAGAGTCGTGCAGAATTGCCCAGCGACCGGGCCGAATCCTGAGAAACCCAGCACCAGAGCCAAGCATTAAACCACCAGACGTCCCCGAACGTCTAGCGTAATACACCGCCCCCCAAGCCGACCCCCCCACGGTGTTTTTCTTAACAGGTGGGGATATTGTAATGCCTGAGAATCCTAGTGCCGTCTACTACCCTAAACCTGCTGGGTAGGTTGCTCGGGATTTGGAAGGGGTTCAACAGTAGGGCTTAGGGAAAAGTTTAGGGTCGAATGTAGAGCCCTGCACAATCAGCAGTAGCATACCGCAGAAAATCTCTGGCTCGCCACACCCTTATGTAAAACCCGACAAATCCCCGAAAAGCACGCAGGAGAAAGATGAAAAGCAACGCCCACAATTTGAACATTTTTCAATTTAGTTTCACAAGAACCTTGAGTAGCGCTGTAGGGGCTTCGACGGATGTTACATGGTTTATAAGGGCTTGTTGGGGATCTGTAGTATTCTTGTAAGGGCTTTGTAAGGGTATTTCAGATTTCGATTGCTATATCTATATATTATACATTGGTTTATGCATATATTTACTTATTTATTTATCTATTGGTATGTACAAACACTATATATATATATATACACATACACGCATACCCATGTGCTGTTTCTGCTTGGGGTCTCCCTGTTAAGACTGAGTAGATTGAACAAGGGTCTACTGCCCAAAACACTAAATGGGGATCCTTCTTGTTGGCATTATTGTGGTTTTCTTATTGTTATTGATCTTCGTTGTATTATGTCGAATCTGAATCTTGCTCCTAATTAAAAATATGTATGAAGCATAAGTTATAATAGTGATTACTGCTATTATTGTGTGAATTCGTATTCTTGGTAGTATTATCTGTATTCTTCTTCTGCTTATGATTATTGTTAGTATGAGTTCTATCATTAAAAACTGTTGGGTTTCATTTTTTCTATGGGAGCTGTGAAGAGATACAAGGGAGCCTTGAGTTTTAGGAATTGTCTTTAGGATGCGAGCTTTGTTTTTTCAACGCTGTTGGCTCTAGGGTTTAGGGTTTATATTTCTTATTGTGTTGTTGTGTTTGTTTGTTTTTTTGTTGTTGTTGTTGCCGCTGTTGCCTTCGTTGGTTTTGGTTTGCTCATCTATATGCGATTGATTATATAGTTGGGGGTACGAATAATCGTAATAGTCGTGATAACTGCAACGACGAAAATGGTATAACTGGGAAATATAGTAACATCATAACACGAGTATTGATAGTATATAGTGGTAATAACTGCAACAACGACAAATACAACAAACAAGAGTTATAGAATACTAATTTAGAAGCAACAAGCTTAAATAATGCTACTAAATTACTAAATGTGTTTTAACAAGAATTCCAGAATAAGGTAGAGATCTCCATCCCCGTACACATCCTCGCGCCTCTGCTGGCCACGGAGAGTCCCGCCGATGCGGGGGGTGCAACGCCCTCAAACCAGGCGAGGGCTAATATGCCCGTGTTTCAGAGGGACAGGGGTTTAGGGTTTAGGGTTTAGGGGTTTAGGGGTTTAGGGTTTAGGGGTTTCGATCGTCGAGCTTAGGATACAGGGGCTTAGAGCTTGCCTACGGGATGTAACAGGCCGTTCAGAAGCAAAGTGTAAGGGCTTCGAAAAGGTCATGTAAGAACCCTAGACCCTCAATCCCAAACCCTCATTAGTCTGGGACATATTCAGGTGGGTAGTTACCGTTCTGGGAGCCTTATAGAAGGTGTATATACCTTATGGAAGCCTTATAGAAGCCCCATATACCCTAAACTCCCCACCTGTAGTTTCCTTTAACATTAGGGTTGCAGGGGCCTGGGGGCCTCGGCTCTTTCGGGTGGCTAAGGACTTCTATGGGTTTAGGAGTTTAGGGTTCAGGGCCACTGTACGGCAGCTTGCAGAAGGCGTTTTTTTGCGGGTCTCTAGCTTCAGCATTGTGGGTGTTTCAATTCCTGGGATGGGCTCCTTTACATTCTTGTAAGGTCCATGAGACTTCGTACTGCTGTACCAGGGTCCTGAACCCTAAACCCTAAAGTGTTGAGCAAAAGGCTCTGGTGGCTTAGGTTGAGGGTGTAGGATTTTGGCGCTTCGGTCCTACTGGCATGTAGAGTTTAGGGTTTAAGGTTTACGTTTTGAAGGGGTTGCTAGTGGGGATCAAAGGGAGTCTGGTGGAATAGGTTTCAACTAGGTTGTGTACGAGTCTGAATACGGAATAATGATGTCCCCGTAGAATCCGTCTATAAACATGCTTAGTACCATATGCTACCAGAACCTACTTTACTGTAGTCTCTTAGCATAAGCCCTAGTATGAAATGGTTGACATTCCCCCATGAGGACCGCGTGAAATCCGTTCAAGCCCTGAAGCGTACCCAAAAAACCCTAAACCCCAAAAAACCTAAACCCTATACCCTGAAGCCTAAACCACAAAATCTGAAGTCCTTCCAGGTGAGCGAAGCCCAAAGCCGGACGTGTCCTGACCCCCCATTATATACTTAGTTCCCGAATGACCAACCTTTAAACTTTCTGGGTTCTTATAACTTAGTAGTAAGCCGAGAGTTTAACCTTGTGTTTCCCTGGCATATTGGGGAAGTGAGATTAAGAATAACCCGTATGTCATGATAGCCTCATTATGATAGCAACCCTTCAAGTAACCCGTATTATAGTAACCCTTAAACGCAACTTCATTATAATAGGATCCCTGTGTAGCAACCCGTATAGTAACCTTATTATGATAGTAACCCTTATAGCACAATTTTTTCGAAGTAAACCCTAAACCCAAACCCTAAACCCTAATCCCTATAATCCCTAAACCCTCAACCCAAACCCTAATCCCTGAACCCTAAGCCCTAAACCCTAAACCCGAAGCCCTAAACCTTGGGCCCGAAGCACTAATCCCTAAACCCTCAGCCCTAAACCCGAAGCCTGAATCCCTCAACCCTAAACTTTAAGACTCAAACCCTAACCTAAACACTTGTGTAGGAACCCTTTTAGAGACCCCCCCAAACGGCCTCGAGACCAGGTGCTTCGCCTGGAGGGATTGCAGGGGGCTGCCGGGGTCGCAAACTTACCGGAGACGCGGCCTAGAGGATTAGGGGTTCGAGGATTAGGGGTTTCGGGGATTAGGGGTTTAGGGGTTTAGGGGTTTAAGGGTTTAGGGGTTTAGGGGTTTAGGGCTTAGGGGTTTAGGGGTTTAAGGGTTGGGGTTTAAGGGTTGAAAGGTTGAGGGTTTGGGGAGAACATTAGGGTCTAGGGTTAGGGGTTTAGGGTTTAGGGAGAGGATAAGGGTTTAATTGGGGTTTCCTTTTGGGATTGATGGAAATTGTTCAGGGTTCGGGTGCCTTAGTTTTGACCGAAACGTTTTGCCCGAGGTTTGTCTTTTGAAGCTTGATGGTTTAGGGAGAGGATTCAGGTTTAATTGGGGTTTCCTTTTGGGGTTGATGGAAATTGTTCAG